CACATGGTAGCTCACAACCATCTGCAGTGAGATCTGATGTCTTCTTCTGGTGTGCAAGCATACATGCAGGTAGAGCACTTGTATATATAAAATAATAAATAAATCTAACAAATATTAAAATAAAATAAACAGGTAGTGCACACCCTTTTTTTTTTTTTTTTTGGTTTTTTCGAGACAGGGTTTCTCTGTGTAGCTTTGCGCCTTTCCTGGAACTCACTCTGTAGCCCAGGTTGGCCTTGAACTCACAGCGATCTCTCTGGAGGCAGAGCCAGTCTGGTCTACATAATGAGTTCCGGGTCAGCCAGGGCTATACCCCTGTCTCAAAATTTAAAAAAGTATTTTTATTTTATATGTATGTCTTTATACTGTGTGTGTGTGTGTGTGTGTGTGTGTGTGTGTGTGTGTGTGTGAAACCCACGCTCTTTGCAAGAGCAGTATATGCTTTTATCTGATAAGCCTTCTCTCTAGCAGCTCCCCAGTCTGTATGTGTGTGTGTGTGTGTGTGTGTGTGTGTGTCCTCGCCCTAGGAAATGACCTAGTTCGAGAGCCCCTTTCAACTGTATTTCTGGCAGGCTCTTGTATATCCCAGGCTGGCCCTGAACTCTTCATACAGTGTAGGGTGACCCTTCTCCTTCTCCTGCCACCCCCAAGTGCTGGGATTCCAGCTGTGCTCTGCTCTGCTCCTTCTTCTTTCCGAAAGTTATGGTCAAATATGCTGAGTCAAAGTTTTGAAGAACTTATGAGGCCTGGTGGCAAATTTCAAAGTAAAAACAAATAGGCCTGGGCTGTAACTCCGTGTCGAAGTGCTTGCCTGCCATGGGTAAGGCCCTAGGTTCAACCTGTAGCACGGAAAAATAATAATTAAAAAAAGTTTTAAAGAACTCACATGACACATGTGCGTATGGCGGTCAGAGGACAACTCCCCCGTCAGTCTTCATCTCCTGAAATGGGTTCTCTTTGTCAGGGCATGTATGTCTGCCGACTGTGTGCATGCAGTGTCTGCAGAGGCCACAAGAGGGCGTGGCACCACCTGGGACTGGAGTTACAGGGAGCTGTGAGCCACCATGTGGGTGGCTGGGAATAGAATTTAGGACCACTGATCTATCTTGTCAGGGCCTAACAGAACTATTTTGATAACTTGATTTTTTTTTTTTACAAAGTGTTTTTCTACTTCTAGAACAATTAAGGCAATTTATATTTTCTAAAAGTTGCATCTATGTAACATTCTTAAATTTAGTATCCTAAAATTATGTAATTTTAAAAGAGGAAGCGGAGTCTTGTTATGTTGCCCAGGCTGGCCTGGAGCTCCTGGGCTCAAATGATCCTGACTAAACCTCTCAAGTAGCTGGACTATGGGTGTAGACAAGTGTGCTGGTGTTACTTTGTTACAAGCCTGCCTCAGCTTCCTGAGTGCCTAGATTACAGCTATGTGTCACTATGCCTGGCTGAAGATGCTAATCTTTCTGTGGAATTTTTCCTCCCCTACACTGATGACAGACAGATGTCCTCTCTCCCCAACCCCCCCACTAGAGACTGAGTTCAGGGCCTCACATGGCTGGGTTAGTGCTTTACCCACTTGACACGTCCCTAGCCACTGACCCCTTCAGGCTGCCTTTGAACTCATTCTAGCTCAGGCAGGTCTTGGGCTCAGGATCCTCCTGACTCTGCAGCAGCAAGTGCTGCTTCTTTTTCAATTTTCACATATTTATTTTTATCTGCATGGATGTTTCCCTTGGATTTATGTGCACTCCATGTATTCCTGGTGCTCACAGAGGCCAGAAAACAGTGTTAGATCCCCTGAGAGAGTTACAGACAGTTGTGAGTCACCATGTGGGTGCTGGGAATCAAACTCGGATCCTCTGGAAGGCAGCCAGTGCTCTGAACCACTGACTCACTTTTGTAGTAACTGGGAATACAGAGCCTGCACTACCAGGCCTGACTACAGAATTCTCTGACATGACGAGTATGTGTACCCCTAAGTATGCTTGCTGGGCCCAGAGGCTGACACAGGGTGTCTTTCTGGAGTGCACTCCACCTTATTATCTTAGTTTTCGAGATTAGGGTTTTCACTGGTTCACCATTGGTCACTGATTGGCTAGACTGCTTGGGGAGGAAGTGCCTTGGATCCTCCTGCCTCTGCCTCCTACTGGTGGGGTGACAAGAGCATGCAGCTTTTTCTGTGGGTGCTTCAGATCTGAATTCAGGTCCTCACACTTGCACAGCACACACTGCTCACTGAGCCACTTTCCTGATATAATTCCCTAGCTAGAGAATGTTACTCACTGAGCCACGTCCCCAGCCCCTATCCAGAGACTGTTAGGTTTACCAGATCTCAGTCTATGTCAAGAATCTTTAAACTGTGGTCTGTGGGCTAATTCCTACCTGTTGCCTATTTGTGTATAGCCTGTGGCCTAATAATGGTTTTCATACTCAGTGTGTGTGTGTGCTTGCGCATTTGTGCCTGAGTGTGGGTGTGAGTGTACACACGTGTAGGGAGGTCAGAGGACAACCTCTGTGTCAGCCTTCATCTTCCTCCTTGTGGTAGTTCGAATGTAACTGGCCTCCATAATCTCACAGGGAGTGGCACTATTAGGAGGGGTTGCTTTGTTAGAGTGGGTATGGCTTTGTGGAGGAAGTATGTCACTGTGGGGGCAGGCTTTGAGGTTTCCTATGCTCAGGATAGTGCCCAGTGAGTCAGTTGACTAATTGTTGCCTGCAAGATGTAGCACACCACCATGCTTCCCATCATGATGACAATGGACCGAACCTCTGAAACTGTAAATGAGCCACCGCAATTAAATGTTTTCCTTTTTAAGAGTTGCCGTGGTTGGTCTGGAGAGATGGCTCAGAGGTTAAGAGCACTGGTTGCTCTTCCAGAGGTCCTGAGTTCAATTCCCAGCAACCACATGGTGGCTCACAGATGGTTGTGAGCCACCATCTGTAATGAGATCTGGTGCCCTCTTCTGGTATAAAGGCATACATGCAGATAGAGTACTCATACACATAAAATAAATAAATCTTTAAAAAAAAAATAAGGGGGCTGGAGAGATGGTTCAGAGGTTAAGAACACTGACTGTTCTTCCAGAGGTCCTGAGTTCAATTCCCAGCAACCACATGGTGGCTCACAATCATCTGTAATGAGATCTGGCTCCCTCTTCTGGCCTGCAGGTATACATGCAGACAGAACACAGTATACATAATAAATAAACAAATAAAAATAAGGGTTGCCGTGGTCATGGTGTCTCACACAGCAATAGAAACCGTAAGACACACCTGAAACAGGTTCTCTTTGCTGTTCAGTGCTGTGCATGCCAAACCAGCTGACCCAGGAGCTTTCAGGAATTGCTCTATTTCTACCTCCTATCTACTTATAGGAGCAGTGAAATTACAGAGGACCTTACTTCACCCAGCTTCAGGTGTTTCTGGGGATCCAAACTCAGGTTCTCAAACTTGTATGACAGCATTTTACTCACTGAACCATTTTCACAGCTGGGTTTTGTGGGTTTTTTTTTAATGTTTAAGTAGTTGAAAACAAACCTAGAATAACTCTGAACATGGAAAATTGCAAAACTCGAGCTCTCAGTGTCTATAATGCACTTGGACAGAAATCAGGCAGGCTCACTTTTGTGACTGTGCATTACTCACAGCTGTTTTCGGGCTACACAGCAGAGATGCACAGCTGTAACAAAGCATTCGGCCTGCAAATCCTGAAATGTTTATACCATCTGGTGCTTCACGGAAAGTTTGTGACTTCTGATCTATGAGGTCCAAGTTTTGATAGATAGATAGAGCTACCAAATCCCCAGGTTATTATGTAATCTTGGTTTCGAGATCCTTAATATATTTGCCCAGTCAAAGTCAGAACGGCACACTAAATTTTCTTACAACAAAGGAGTTTTTGCCAAGCTCCTTCTTGTACACTTAACCATTTTTGTTTTATAGATACAATCTCTGTTTCTGAGAGCTAACACTGATAATATATTTCAGTATGGAAAGTTTCCTTCATAAAAATAAAATGTTTTGATTTATTATATATCTTACTTTGCATTCTATTTCATATTAACACCAATGCCCTGGTTTACTTGTGATTCTTGACATGCCCAAATATTGTTACAGCAGTCACTTTTGTGAATGGAATACAGAAGAATCTTAATTTTCTGTTTTCTGATTCACTTAAAAAGAGTGCTTAGCCGGAGAGTTTAGCCCATTTACTTTCCTCTCTCTCTCTCTCTCTCTCTTTCTTTCTCTCTCTCTCTCTCTCTCTCTCTCTCTCTCTCTCTCAACAGCATCTCACCAGGTAGCCCTGGCTGGCCTCAAGTTCACAGAGATACACCCTGCTTCCTGAATGCTGAGATGAAAGGTGTGCACCCCCATGCCTGATTGTCCACTTACATTTTACATGACAGACTCATTTTCATTGATTATCTTTTGCTTTGTGAAAACACAAGATGGCTCAGTGGGTAAAGCACCTGCCATGTAAGCCAGATGCCAGGTGCCCTTAGCTTGATCCTGGTGCCCATGCTAAGTGGTGGCTGGCATCTGTAAGCTCAGCATGCTTAGAGTAAGATGAGAGGTAGAAATAGAAGTGGAATGTATGAAGTACAGGGGCAGAAACAAGAGTGATTCTGCCTCAAAAACAGATAGGAGAAATTCAGCTCCTAAGAGCTGTCCCCTAACCTTCACACAGCCCCTCTGTCTGTCCTTCTCACACTCAGAAGTTTAAAAAGTTTTCCCCCCTAAATGATGGTTTATACCATTTCAAAAATTACTAGTACACTGTTCCACTATGTGAACAGTGTTCTTAATTTAAAAACACAGAGGACCTCAAAAATACAGGAGCAGCCACTAATATGCAGCGATTTTGGATATTCCAATATTCATTTATTCTGTGTGGGGTGGGAGCACATGCCATGTGTGTATGAAGGGGAGAGGACAGCTTGTGTAGAAGTAGCTGGTTCTCTCCTCTACTATGTGGTCCTGAGGATATAACTCAGGACCTCATGCTCTCAGCACATATACTAAAAAATTAGAATGATATAGAGAAGATTAGCATGGCCCCTGGGCAAGGATGACATGCAAATTTGTGAAGTGTTCCATTTTTATTTCAGCCAGGTGGTGATGGTGCATGCCTTTAAACCCAGCACTTAGGAGGCAGAGGCAGGTGGATCTGAGTTCAAGGACAGCCTGGTCTACAGAGTGAGATCCAGAACAGCCAGGACTACACAGAGAAACCCTGTCTCGAAAAACCAAAAACCAAACCAAAGCAAAGCAAAACAACTAGGTCCACAGGCTTAGAGACAAGCACTGTTCTAGCAGAGCCATCTTTCTAGCATAGATTTGGATGTTTTTGTAGCAGTGGTTCAAAGAGGGAAAGAAGGCAGAAAAGAAAACAGAGACTAACTTGAGATGTGGTTTGATAGGACCATGGGCCACATAAACGCTAGTTTTCAAATTCCATTACTTTAAAATGGGCAAAAGATCCATGTCCCAAAGAATGCCTACATACTGTATAATTTGGCAGCTGAATTAAGATCTGTAGACATACACACACACACACACACACACACACACAAAAAAAAAAAAGGATAGCAAAATCTGGACAATATCACATGAGAAGTCTGAAAAGTAAGCTTCTACAGTTTAGTTAGGCTAACAGTGTTAATCTGTCAGTAAACCCTAGGTTTTATCTCCTTTCCTCCCATTTAGCAGAGAAAAGAAGATGAGGAGATGGCCCAGCAGTTAAGAGTACTTGCTGCTCTTTCAGAGGACCTGGGTTGGATTCCTAGCACCCACACGGTGCTTCCTAAGTGTCTGTAACTCCAGTTCCAGGGGATCTGATGCCCTCTTCTGGCCTCTACAGACACCAGGCACACATGTGGTACCCAGACATACACAAAACACTCATATATATAAAATAAACCTTTTTGTTTATTTGTTAGTTTGAGATAGGGTCTGTCTATATGTAGTCCTGGCTGTCCTGGAGCTTGCTATATAGACCAAGCTGGCCTCCTATTCACAAAGAGCTTCCTGCCTCCCTCCCAAATGTTGGGATTAAAGCCCTGTGCCACCACACTAGGCAAAAAACGAAACAAAACAAACAAAAAACTTAAACAGCACTTTCTCTCCCACCCCCCTCATATATGTGTGTGATGTCTGTGCATGTCTCTGTGTGTGTGTGTCTGTGTGTGTGTGTGGGCTTGCCCATGGAGGTCAGCAACTGATGTTAATTAAGGATTTTCCTCTATCACTCACTCTCCATCACACACACTGAGCTTGGGTCTCTCCCTTAAGTCCAGAACTTGCCAATCCGGCTAGTCTGGTCAGCTAGCTTGCTCCAGGGACCCTGTTTCTCTCCACTGTGCTGGAATCACAGGCAGGCTGCCACACCTGCTCAGCGTCTGCCTGGGTCCTGGGGATCCGAACTCCAGCTCTCATGCTTGCAGAGCAAGTGCATCCCCCACTGAGCCATCTCCGCAGGCCTCAAAGGCATTTTCTGACAAAATGAAGATCACTCAATGAAAACACTGGAGATGGCTGGGAGATGGCTGAGGAAGGAGAAGCACGGGGCCGCCAAGCCTGACCACCTGAGTTTGATCCCCAGGACACACATGGCGGGAGAGAACTGACTCCTGTGATTGCACATGCATAGCACTGAGAAAATAAATAAAAGCTTAAAAATATTTCAGTCTCTAAATTTTAATTAATCAGCTATTATTATTATTATTATTATTATTATTATTATTATTATTAACTTTTGGGACAGGATCTCACTATGTATAGCCTTGGCTGATGGGGATCTTGCTATATAGACCAGGCTGGCTTGAACTGAGAGATCTACTTGCCTCGGTCTCTCGAGTGCTGGGATTAAAGGCATGTGCCACCATGCCTGGCTCCATAAGGTTTTTTTTTTTGAGACAGCGTTTTCTCTGTGTAGCCCTGTTTGTCCTGGAACTCACTCTGTAGACCAGGCTGGCCTTGAACTCAGAGATTCGCTTGCCTGGCCCCTAACTGCTGGGATTAAAGGCGTGGGCCACCACCAGCTCTGGCTCCTTAAGTTTTTAAGAGACAGGGTCTCATGTAGCCGAGACTAACCTCAAACTTGCTATACAGCTGAGGCCGTCCTGAACTCCTCATCATTCTGTCTGTCTCGCAAGGTCGGATTACAGAAGTGCACACAAAGCTTCTTGACAGTACAATGGTAATATAAGACAGCTGGGTTCTCCTCTCAGGTCACTGACTCACTCGTTTGACGCTCGTCTTCCTTCATAGTCCTTGCCTCCTTAAACACGAGCTCTAGAAAAAGCAGCGGTTTCTGTCTCACCTGTGTGCCACACGGAGGTTATCGCCTGGGCATTGCACTGCAGTTGCAGCATGTGTCGCAGCATGGCCAGTCCCCAAACAGTCACGTCTGCACACAATCCTGGAGTCACAGCTCTCCCCGTGGAGGACTTGAAGCTCACGGTCTGGGTCTGCGAGCTGGCTGCTCTGAGCTGCCTGCAGAGCGCAGCGACACTGACGGCACAGATGAATTTGTGTTCCGGGCTGTGTTTCTCAGTGTGAGGCAAAAGGCTGAAGATGGCATTATAATTACTTTCATACTTCCCATTGGCACTGCACCCAGGAACTGGGGGTTCACCCTTTTTGCAGTTCTCTTCACTCTCCCCCTGACTTGTATAGTCAAGTGTCTTGACCAGATTCTTGTTTCCAGGTAAACAGATGTCCTTGTTTCCAGTCTCATCAGAAAGCATCCTGAGAACTCCGTCAACATCTTCAAATCTGGTTAAAAGAGTCATCCTCAGCGCCACATGGCAGAAGACCCCAAGCGTGAGAAGCAGCGCCCCCAGAGGACACTCTGTGCTGTGGTAACACTCCCACGCCTTCTGCATACATTCCTGGCTGCAATACTTGGCATAACTGCAGCCGCCGCAGGGTACTGTGGCCCAAGTGTGCCTCAGACACCGGTGACAGTAGAGGTCCCCATTGGTAACTCTGGTCTCCCACTTGTTTTCTAGGCCAGGATGCAGTGGTGGCATTTCTCCTGGGTTAAGGACACTTACGAAAGCATCCTCCTTCACCAGGAGTTCTCCTGGGAGAATGTCTTTTGTGGCAACTAGATGGCGGCCTTTCAAAGGGTCTGTGTGTAAGCTGACAGAGCGGGATGCCCCAGAAATCTGTCTGTTCTCTTCCCCCAGGGCCATATCCTCAAAGGCTCTGCCGAGAGCTGCTGGGAAGGTTTCTGGGAGAGTCTCCTTCTCCTGGATCTTCACCTTCAGATGATGGAGGCTCCTCTGCAGAATTTGATGAGAGGAAGGTAGCAGTGTTGGCTTGGCAGTGAGGCTGCTTTCAAGGGCAGCGATGGTTTGCTTCGCCTCCTGTAGTCTCCCCAGGTTCACCAGGCATTCCGTCTTCCGCAGCATCATCTTGGGTTGCAGTCTTTCAGGATACCCATGCATTCCTGCTCTCACTATGTCTTTAAGACATGCCTGAAAACAAAGGGAAATTCCAGGATGACTCTTGATTTCTACTCTTTCCTATGTACTGACAACTGAAAAACCACGGGCACGCAGAGGGTCATCAAAGTGGACAGTTTCGATCGAGAGCTTAGGCCTTAATTTACATCCTCTGCTCTGCTTCCTGGTCTTTCCTTTTCTCCCTCCCTCCCTCCCTCCCGCTTCCTTCCCTCTCCCTTCCTTTCCTTCCCCTCTTCCCTCTCCTCCTTTCTTCTTTCCTTCCTTATGCTGGGGACTGATTTCAGCACCTGTGTGACCTTTTCATCGAGTGACTAGTAATACTTGTTGAGAGTATTACATCTAATTTTTCTTACTAATCAGTTCTGGGTTTTTTGTTTGTTTGTTTGTTTGTTTGATTTGAGACAAAGTTTTGCTATAGCCTTGGCTGGCCCAGAACTCTCTATGTAGACCAGGCTGGCACAAACCCACAGGCCTATCTCTGTCTCCTGAGTGCTGAGATTAAAGATGAAGCCTGTCTCACTGAGACCAGCTCAATAGTTCTGGTTTTTTTTTTTTTTTCAAGATTTATTTATTTTTTATTATGTATACAACATTCTGCCTCCATGTAACCTTGCACACCAGAAGTGGGTGCTGGGAATTGAACTCAGGACCTTTGGAAGAACAGTCAGTGCTCTTAACCTCTGAGTTATCTCTCCAGCACCCTAGTTCTGTTTTTTTAAGAGCAAAAAAGTCTTAAAAAATTAAAGGGAGTCAAGGTAGACTTTGCCAGGTTTGATGGTGAACACCTTTAATTCCAGCATTCTAGAGGCAGAGGACAGTGGATCTCTGTGAGTTTGAAACCAGCGTGGTCTACAGAGTAAGTGCCAGGACAAACAGAGTCAGATTCTTGGATCTTTTTTCTTTAGAGAATATTTTGTTATTTTCTATGATCAAACTCATGTAGATAAGACTCTGAATATTTAATACAGTGTATTACTTCTATATAAATGGAAAAATTAAGTTTAATGTGTCTAGACCAATATGGCTGTTGATTTCTGTACAATGTCAATTTAACATGGTAAACTGGGATGCTGTTTTCCAAAGCTGACAGCACAGCTAAAGCTTCCCCAAATTCAAATTATATATATATGTATATATATACACACACACATATACACACTTACAGATATAGTAGAAGTCAAATCATAGCAGTATGTTATGAATTAATAGCAACAGCAGCAGGTTTTCCTGGTTCTGTAGCCATCTGAACAAAATCAGAGACATCTTGCACACTCCATTAAAAAACAAAATAAAACAAAACATATATATATATATATATATATATATATATATATATATATATATATATATAAAATCCCAGATTACTAGATTTTTGCTTTTCAGTTGTTAGTAGCAGCTCTGATTGGACAGTATTAACTATGTAGCCCAGGCTAGCTACAAACCCATAGCGTGCCTTGTCCATGCTAGGATTACAGTTGTGTACTACCATGCCCAGAGAGATTCTTGCTCTTCTAGTTTACTGTGAAGGGCATCGAGTGTGAACATGTGACTACTCCAACAGCCTTCAATTCCAGTGTGTAACTGCATTTATGTAGAATTTCTACATGGGTAGGATGATATTTCAGAGCTTGTCCTTAGGCCTTTCTACTACACATTTCAGAGGCTTTGGGTATCTTCCAAAAACAGATCTGACTTTTGTCAGTTCCCAACTTCAGCTCCAAGGACACAATGCTCCTCTGTTGTTTCTGTTCTTGCTGCAGCAATTACGGGCTGAGAAGAAAGGCTTTCGCTTTCATACTCTCCATACTTACTGCAGAAGAGCTGTAAGAAGAGGGATAATCTTTGTTTGTTTGTTTGTTTATTGAGACAGGGTTTCTCTGTATAGCTTTGGAGCCTGTCCTGGAACTCGCTCTGTAGACCAGGCTGGCCTCGAACTCACAGAGATTCATCTGCCTCTGCCTCCCGAGTGCTGGGATTAAAGGTGTGTGCCACCACTGCCCAGCCAAGAGGGATAATCTTAAGCATCCCTTACTTATTTAGTTTCTTCTTTTAAACTGCTATTTTATGTGTATATGTTTTGCCTGCATGTATGTCTGTGCACCACATGCCTATATGACACCTGGTACCTGCAGAGGCCAGAAGAGGATGTCAGATCCCCTGGAAATGGAGTTATAGCCCACGATGAGCTACCATGTGGATGCTAGAAATCAAACCCAGGTCCTCTGGTAGAGCAGCTGGTGCTCTTAACTACTGAGCCATCCCTCCTGTCCTCATGCCCTGCTTATTCAGAAGACACAAATGAACAAGCTGATACCTTGACACACTTGGAATCTAAAGTACTGTTAGCAACACATCTGGCTGATTTAGACATTGAGAAGTGCTGGCCTATTGTATCCAGTCCATCCCTATAGACAATGCCATAGCTTTTTCTTGTCAACTAACACTGTTGTTCATGGTCACCTGTGGGAGGTGACATGAATCAGAAGAAACAGATAGGACCTCGTCTTCCACTGAAGACACAGGCAGGACCCCAGGTAACTCAATACTCACTTCATACTGACCCAGATGGAAGAGGGCTGCAGAGCGATTGGCATAGCACAGTGAAATACCCTCAGTGTTAGGTCTTGAATGCGACACTCCCTGGAAAACAAAGAGCTGGTCAAAGGGACAAATGGGAAGTAGCATTTCTAATCTTTTCTGATAATGAGGAATCTACTACTAAGACAACGTAATTGGAAAAAAAATACTGAACCTTTCTGTTTCAGCTACTTCTCTCTCATTTTTTCCTTTTAGCAAACCTCTGAAGGTCAATGAGAAAATGAAGATTCAATGCTGAATACAGTAGCATCAGACACAGTTTCTACCACGTCTACCAGTTTGTCTAGGCTGACCTTGAACTCACTCTGTCACTCAGACAGACCCTGAGTTCATGATCCCACAGCCTCAACTTCCCAAGTAGCTGGGATTGCAGGCCTGTGCCACCAGGTCCAGTGTAAATGGACCAAACTCTTAATGTAACAAATGAGTAATAACTCTGGAAGAAACCATGAAGAGTCCAAAGTAAAGTTGGAAGAATCCCTTTCTAACTCCAATAAAAACCCAGATGTTGCTGGGTATGGTGGCACATGCCTTAATCCCAGCACTTGGGAAGTGGAGGAAGGTGGATCAGCAGTTTAAAGCCAGCTTCTACTACAAAGTTTGAGGCTATGCTTGGCCGTGTGAAACCCAGTCTCAAAAATATTAAGGGGGAAAAAAAAAGAGAGAGACAAAGAAAGAAAAAGAAAAATCACAAAAACAAAACTCTAGAAAATCATAAAAGGATAATAAACTTGAGTCCATAAGGGCTGGAGATAGAGTTTAGTGGCACGGTGCCACTAAATGGGTTCCATTTCCAGTATTATAAATATATATACACATACACGTATATATATGTGAATATATATCATATCTTATACACATATGTATCCTTTACAATACAAACAAATCAAGGGAACATCAAAATGTAAACACATATTATAAACAAAGAGCTAACTTTTACTTCACGTTTCAAAAGGTCAATAACAAGTCAACTGATAATTCAATAAAAATATGCAAAAGATATGAACAGTCCTTATGGGACACACAAACGACTCTGTTCCTGGTTTGTTTGAGACAAGGTCTCTCTACATAGTCCTGGCTGTCCTGGAACTCACTATGGAGACTAGCACTGGGATTAAAGGTGTACACCACTTGGGAGGCAGAGGCAGGCAGATCTCTGTGAGTTCTAGGCCAGCTGAAATACTTTTTCCCCATCAATTTGTCAAGGAAAAATAAGACCAAGAGCAGTCTACCTGACAAAGGAGCGGGAGAACCGGGCACTCTCATCATGCTGCCAGTGGTAGTATAAACTAGTCTGCTAACTAGTGATACAATCTAGAAATACATAGGAAATGTTTTGGGGTGGGGTGCACTTGGGAGGCAGAGCCAGGCGGATCTCTGTGAGTTGGGAGGCCAGCCTGGTTTACAGAGTCAAGATCCAGGACAGGCACCAAAACTGGGTCTCTCAAAAAACCAAACAACAACAACAACAAAAAACCCAAAACAAAACAAAACACAAAACCCACCACTGATCTATGCCCTCAGTTCTAAAAATACATTATATATGTATATATGTATATTTTGCTTGTTTGTTTTTCGAGACAGGGTTTCTCTGTGTAGCCCTGGCTGTTCTAGAAATCAATCGATAGACCAAGCTGGCCTTGAACTCAGATATCTGCCTGCCATGTGCTGGGCTTAAAGGTATGGACCACCACTGCCCAGCTATATTTTTTGCATTTATGTGTGTGCATGTGTGCACCTGCGCTCATACCATGGCATATGTATTGAGGTCAGAGGACAGTTCTCAGGGGTTGGTTTGCTTCTGTTACCTTGCAGAATCTAAAAATTGAACTCAGGTCATTCAGGCCTTTGCATAACTGCCTCTACCCAATGAGCAATCTCATTGGCCCACCTAGAGCTCTTAAAATAATAATAAAGAAGTTATGTGTAGCCGGGCAATGGGGTGGCGCATGCCTTTAATCCCAGCACTTAGGAGGCAGAGGTAGGTGGATCTCTGTGAGTTTGAGGCCAGCCTGGTCTACAGAGTGAGTTCTAGGACAGCCAGTACTAAACAGAGAATCCCTGTCTCTAAAAACCAAGAAAAAAAAAATGATGTGCATACATATACACTTGAGAGCAGTGTCTGAGGATCTGTTAGAGCTAGAGCTACAGGAAGGTGCTGGGGGCCAAAGTCATGTCCTCTTTAAGAGCAGTACATATTTTTAAATGATGAGCCCCAACCTCAAATTCTCAATCCTCCTGCCTCTACCTCCTAAGGGCAGGGATTATAGGTATGATAATCATGCCCAGTCCAGTCCTGTTTTTTAATCTTTTTTTTATTTCTTTTTTTTAATTTTTTTTTTTTTCGTTTTTCTTTTGAGCAGGGTCTCGCTCTGTAGTCCTGTCTGTCCTGGAACTCACTATGTAGATCAGGCTGGCCTCAAACTCAGAGATCCACTTTCTTCTCCCTCCTGAATTTTAGGATTAAAGGCATGCACTACCACCGCCTGGCTCTTTATTTTTTTTATTTTTTTATTTTTTTGGTTTTTCGAGACAGGGTTTCTCTGTGTAGCTTTGCGCCTTTCCTGGAACTCACTTGGTAGCCCAGGCTGGCCTCGAACTCACAGAGATCCGCCTGCCTCTACCTCCCGAGTGCTGGGATTAAAGGCGTGCGCCACCACCGTCCGGCTTGGTTCTTTATTTTTTAAAGACTAGGATCTAAAAGAGCTGAAGAGGGGCTAACAATATAGCTCAGTGGTACAACTCCTGCCTAGAATTCGTGAAGACCCATGTTTGTTTCCTAGCACCATGCAAAAGAAAAGGGGGGGTGCATGAGGGGACAGGACCAGTGCCTAAAAGGAAGAGGACAGAAGACAGTGAGGGATGAACAGGCACAATGACATGCATTATATACACGATGAAGATGTCACAGTGAAGCTCACTTTTTGTATACTGAAAACGAATGAGCTGGGCATGGTGGTGCACACCTGTAATTCCAATACACGGCAAATGGCGGCAGGAGGATGAGGCTTAGCTGCATAGGAGTTTGAGGCCAGCCTGGGCTACTGTGCTGCTCACACTAGCCTTGGCTCCTGGAGTCATGATCCTCCTGCCTCAGTTCTCAAGTAACTGGAGGTTACTGTCACTATGCCTGCTGTTTTTATTCCCCTATCTATCTGCCTTATATACAGTATATGTAACAAGGCCAGTTTATGGGGATGGAAATGAGGTTGGACTAGGGGACAGAAAAAGAAAGCACACTATATATTCCTTCAACTTTTTTTTTTTTTTTTGATTTTTCAAGACAGGGTTTCTCTGTAGCTTTGCGCCTTTCCTGGAACTTGCTTTGGAGACTAGGCTGGCCTCGAACTCACAGAGATCCGCCTGCCTCTGCCTCCCGAGTGCTGGGATTAAAGGCGTGCGCCACCACTGCCCGGCTCCTTCAACTTTTAAAATGTAACTATATGAACACATTTCCTAGCCTCAAAAATTAACAAAATATTAATATATAATACTAACCAACTTAAGATATGGAGAAACGAACATTCTCATTCTGTTAGAATAGATGTTGACTAGTTCTTTCCTGGAGAACAACCCAGCCTCAGCATCAAAGGCTTGAAAACACTCCCTCTGACCTAGCACTCTACCCTTCTACTAATTCATCCTAAACAAAAATCAGTTGTACATACATATTTATACAGAGATGCTTATTACAGCATCATAATGCCAAATAATATGCCAATATTAGATGTTAAATTAAGTACATTTCTTCTCTGTAATAGAACACTGAGTTAGCTATGGAAAATGACTTAGAGCAGAAAATTTAATACCATGAGAAAATGGGTACAATAAATTGTTGAAGGGAAAGAGCAGGTTACAGAACAGTAAGTGCAGCATTATCCCAATTTTATAAAAGAAAAACACATTCTCACACAAGAAAGGCTGCCTGCCTGGGTATAGGCAGAAATGTTAACAGTACTTATCGCTGGTTATGACTTTTTTTTTACTCTTTATACTTCTCTATATTTTCCAAAGTAACATTTATTACTTTTACAGACAAAAACAACAAGCATTACTTTAAAAGAAAGAAAATAGCAGCTCTCTATAAAATTACAAAGTACCATAATCACCAAAATGCCAGCTTCGTGAAACAGGAAGCGCTTCTCCCTCTGCATCCAGCAAACCTTCATCTTTTCCTTCTGGAGACAGGGTCTCATGTAGCCCAGGCTGATGTCAAAATCGTTCTAGAGCCCATTTTTAAAGTTTTATTTTATTTTTAGAATTATGTGCATGTGTGAGTGTGGGTGCCTGTGGAGGCCAGAAGAGGGTCTTGGACCCGAGGTGGGTGAACCACCATATGCCACGGTCTCTGCAAGAGCAAGTGCTCGCAAGCTCTGAGCATCTCTCCAGCCCCTCCTTTCTTAGCTTGCCTGTTTTCCTTGAACAGTTTTCCATGGGATCATGTTTAGGATGTAAAGGCATAAAACTGAAGCCAAGTACTTTATCACACCACCACAAAGTAGGGCTTTTATGTTTGCAGAATGGCTGCTGTAGCTTTGATAGTTTTTGAAAATTAATTCCAAGTGTTGAATATTGACTTTTTAAAAAATAATGTATTAAGATTTATTTATTTTATGTATATGGTGCTCTATCTGCATGTACACCTGCATGCCAGAAGAGGACATCAGATCCCACTATAGATGGTTGTGAGCCACCATGTAGTTGCTGGGAATTGAACTTAGGACCTCTGGAAGAGCTGCCAATGCTCTTAGCCACTGAGCCATCTCTCCAGCCCTGAATATTGACTTTTTAAAGGTGCAGAAAGGCTACAACACCCCCAGTTCCAGTGCTGGGAATCAGACCGTGGGCTTCATGCACGCTAGGCAAACGTGTACCAAGGAGCTACACTTCCCTTTCACCCGCTTACACTCTTCTCTCCCTCTTAAGACAGGTTCTTAGACAGTTCAGCTAGCCTCAAACTTGTTACAAAGCTAAGACCGGCCTTCAACTCTTGATCTTCCTTCCTCCCTGAAACCTGGATTACAGGAGTATGCCAACATTCTTTTACTGTATAAGATCACAGATCAAGAGTCTGACACAGCCGGGCAGTGGTGGCGCACGCCTTTAATCCCAGCACTCGGGAGGCAGAGCCAGGCGGATCTCTGTGAGTTCGAGGCCAGCCTGGTCTACAGAAGCGAGATCCAGGACTTCAAAACTACACAGAGAAACCCTGTCTCGAAAAAGAAATCTCTGAAAAAGCAATAGAAAGAATTTTTTCAGGGCACCATGGAAACAGGTCAGTAAGAGTAACACAGTATTAAAAGCCATGACTTTGCTTCAAAATCTAGCTCGGTGGGGCTGGAGAGATGGCTCAGCAGTTAAGAACACTGGCTGAGTCGGGCGGTGGTGGCGCACGCCTTTAATCCCAGCACTTGGGAGGCAGAGACAGGCGGATCTCTGTGAGAGACAGGCGGATCTCTGTGAGTTTGACGCCAGCCTGGGCTACCAAGTGAGTCCCAGGAAAGGCGCAAAGCTACACAGAGAAACCCTGTCTCGAAAAACCAAAAAAAAAAAAAAAAAAGAACACTGGCTGCACTTCCAGAGGACATGGGTTTGATTCTCTGAACCCACATGGTGGCTCACAGCAGTCTGTAACTCTAGTCCCAGGAGATTTGATGCCCTCTTCTGGCCTCCTCAGGCACCAAGCACACATGTGGTACACAGACATACATGTAGGCAAAAACCCATATACATAAAATTATAATTAAAAAATTATAGCTTGGTCATAGTTAGTGTAATATAAAGTATCTACTGACTGCCACTAACAGTAATATGTTAACTGATGGACCAGGCAGTGATTGCACACTCAAGAAGATCTCTGTGAGTTTGAGGCCAGCCTGGTCTATAAAGAGAGTTCCAGGACAGCCAGGGCTACACAGAGAAACCCTGTCTCAACAAAAAAACCAAAAACAAACAAACAAACAACAACAACAAAAATACAAAACAAAATACGTTAACTGATGACCAACTGCTGTGGAATATTAGTTGAAGATATGTTACATTTGTTTATGCTGTGGAACATTTGCTTAATGATGCAAAGATTTGTTGCATTCTTTTATGTTACATTTGTTTTAACTCTGTGAAGCTGTGTTACTTTTCCTGCCTAAAACACCTGATTGGTCTAATCAAGAGCTGAATTGCCAATAGTTAGGCAGTAGAAAGGATAGGCAGGGCTGTAGGCAGAGAGAATAAATGGGAAGAGAAATCTGGGAAAAGAAGATGGGGGGTAAAAGGAGGAGAGGAGGGTGTCAGAGGTCAGCCACCCAGCTACACATCATGCCACAGAGTAAAGAAAGGTATATAGAATAGAGAAAGGTAAAAGCCCAGAGTCAAAAGGTAGATGGGTTAATTTAAATTAAGAAAAGCTGGCTGGAAACAAGCCAAGCTATGGCCGGACATTCATAAGTAAGAAAAAGTCTCTGCATTTATTTGGGAGCTGGGTAGTGGGCCCCCAAAGAGTAAAACAACCAATGAAACCTAGTTTGGTTGGGCTATGGCAAATCCACTTATTTTCTTTTTTGACTTTATTTATCAAGATATGGTCTTACTACATAGCCAAGGCTGGCCTGGAGCTTGCTATGTAGATCATGCCAGTCTTGAACTCATTGAGATCCACTTGACTCTGTTTCCTGAGCACTGGAATTAAAGGCAAGTGCCACCATGCTCAGCTTAAGTTACTATGGTTGTAAGCCAGCATGTGGCTAGTTAAAAATCTAGCTGTTGCTGTGTGGTGGTGGCGCACACCTATAATCCCAGCTCTCAGGAGGCAGAAGCAGGTGGATCTTCGGGATTTCGAGGCCAGCTTGGTCTACAGAGCGAGATCCAGAACAGCCCTGGTGGCTAGAGAAACCCTGCCTTGAGAAACTGGGGGAAAAAAAAGGTGTGTATATGTATATATAATAAAGTATTTACTTATTAAAAACACTAGCTGTTCACTAAATTGGGACTATTAAGCTAAAAATTTCATCAGTTCTTCAGATAAAAATGGCATATAATTCAGTAAGAACTATCACCCGGTAAAGCAGGGCAAAGAGCCAATAAGCTTGTGGCCACTATGAGTCTGAAGGAATAGGGGAAGAATCTTTCAAAATTCAGGATATATAAACTACCTTTTGTTTTAGAATATAATCAACAACAGAATTCTATCATTTCCCCCCAAATCCAATCCAAAATGTCGATTAAAACAAAACAGAACAAAACAAACCCCCACTGACTATGAAATTTGGTACCAGGACTCTAACTTCTGCAGAGCATGCCTTGTGCAGTCGTGGGGCTGCATGCGTGTTACGAGTTACCTTAGAGTACAGCACTGCAGCACCTGCATAGTCCTTCTCCTGGAATTTCCTGTTTCCTTCTTCTCTGTAGAAAAGGGGGGCATCGTAGTCCTTTTCCACCAAGTAAGCACTAGAAAGTCGCTTTAAAAACATCTCATCTTCAGGTCTTTGAAGTAAGAGGGAAACAAACAAAAAGGAGAAGTGTGTTATTTCGAGTGAGGCTCTGGAATCACTGTACTTGAAATTGCAACAACCGGCTGGGAGCAGTGCACACAGGCCTGTACGCACTATGTAATCCAACTGGAGCATTCCTCCTGGTCTCAGAGGCACAGGGACAGGGGTAGCCATTTAGAGCTGAGAGCGCTGAGCCGGGCGGTGGTGGCGCACGCCTTTAATCCCAGCACTCGGGAGGCAGAGACAGGCGGATCTCTGTGAGTTCGAGGCCAGCCTGGTCTCCAAAGCGAGTTCCAGGAAAGGCGCAAAGCTACACAGAGAAACCCTGTCTCGAAAAACCAAAAAAAAAAAAAAAAAAAAAAAAAAAAATAGAGCTGAGAGCGCTGATGTCTGACTCTATCTCATGCTTAGTGGTCAATCGTCCCTTGGATCACACATCACAACAAAGCCTGAGTGTAGAGAAAGATACATGGAATCTTTGCACCAAGGAGTGCTCTCCAGTTATACTGTCTTGAAAATACTGAGGAGGGCTGGGGAGATGGCTCAGCAGTTCAGCACATATATACTGGTCATCAGAGGACCCAAGTTCACTTGGTGCTCACATCAGATGGCTCACAATCATCTATAACTCCAGTCCCAAGGGCATCTTAGATCTCTGATCTCTGTGAGTACCTGCACTTGTGTGCACACCCACATACAGGAACATACATATAACTAATAAAAAATAATTTAAAAAAATACTGAAGATTGCTGGGTGGTGGTGGCGCACGCCTTTAATCCTAGCACTTGGGAGGCAGAGGCAGGCGGATCTCTGTGAGTTCGAGGCCAGCCTGGGCTACCAAGTGAGTCCCAGGAAAGGCGCAAAGCTACACAGAGAAACCCTGTCTCGAAAAACAAAAACAAAAACAAAAAAAAAAAAAAAACTGAAGATTTGGGCATGGTAGTGCAGACCTGTAATCCCAGCCATCAAAAAACTGAGGTAACAGGATTACCACAAGTTGGAGGCCAGCCTGAGCAAGACAATAAGGTTTTTTTCCTTTTTCTTTCTTTTTTTTTTTTCTTTTGAGACAGGGTTTCTCTGTGTTGTTTTGGTGTCTGTCCTGGATCTCACTTTGTAGACCAGGCTGGCCTCGAACTCACAGAGATCTGCCTGGCTCTGCCTCCCAAGTGCTGGGATTAAAGGCGTGCACCACCACCACCCAGCAAGGTTTTTTTTTTTAAACACACACACACACACACACACACACACACACACACACACACACACACACAGAGAGAGATGTTAAAAGTGTATATGTGTGGGCAACGAGATGGCTCAACTCACAAAGGCACTTGCTGCCAAACCTGACAACCTGAGTTTGATCCTGGGATCCAAATGATGATAGGCGAGAACTCCAAAAGTTGTCCCCCTGCCTCTTCCTTCCTAGTGCTGGGATTCAAAGGCGTGCACCACCACTGCTGGTAATCACTGTTGTCTTTGTTTTCTGTACATTATTTTGTGTGTGTGCCTGTACATGCATATAACATATAACATATAACGTCATAACATGCATGTGGAGGTCAGAGGACAACTTTCAGGACTTGGTTCTCTCCTTGCACTGTGGGTTCCAGGGATGAAATTCAGGTTGTTACACTTGCATGGCAGGCGTTTTCACCCCCTAGCCAGCTGACTGTCCCCACCCACTCCCTTGTGTTCAGAAAGGGTCTCAGTCTGCTCTCCACTCTGCCTATGATTCACAACCATTGTTTCCTCTTGTCTCAGCTTCCAAAGGGCTGGGGTTCTGGATGAGCACCATGACTAGCTCTTCCACTGTCCTTCTGCATCATCCCAAACTGAAATACGCCATTGCCTCATCACTCTGCCTTCTCCCCAGTTCCTTGTAAATTCTTCTACATTCTACATCATTTGCCTAGTGTGGGTTCTTGAAATCTTTAAATTACATTTTCATTTATATATTTATTTGTATGTATATGTGTTCCAGGGTGCATGTGTGGAGATCAGAGGATACCTTGTGGGAGTTGGTTTTCTTCTTCCACTGTGTAGATCTCAGGTCTTAATGTTTAGTCCCAAGTGCCTTTACCCACAGAGCCATCTTGCTGACCCCATTAGAGGTTCTTTATATAAAGAGATCATGTAATATTATGAGGGAGTGGATGAAGTCCTGAGTGAATGTGTTCTGTTGACAAGGCTTTGTCTCAGACCCATGGGAACTGGCAAAGCTGTTCTTTGGTTCTGGCTCTGTCCAAAAACTAGCAACCAGAGCTTTCTCCTTTGGGATGACTGCAATCTGAGACTGTTCCTCTACAGAGACTGCCCACCAGGACTAGCTAACCTGCTGCTTATGCGGTATACAACAAATGGGCTGAGTTTCCAAGCGGTGGTAGTAGATGCCTTCCATCGGAGAGCAGAGCCCACCTAGTCCAGCCTTTCTGTACATATGTCTATCCTTTCTTCGGGTTTCCAGAAGCAAGCCTTGCTGGATGGAGCATATTTGTCTTTTTTGTGTGTTTGGCTTATTTTACTTGATAAAAAGTTTTCAAGGTTCAACATGTTGCAGCATGTCCCAGAATTTCACTATTTAAAAAATGGTTGAGCCGGGCAGTGGTGGTGCACGCCTTTAATCCCAGCACTCGGGAGGCAGAGCCAGGCGGATCTCTGTGAGTTCGAGGCCAGCCTGGTCTCCAAAGCGAGTTCCAGGAAAGGCGCAAAGCTACACAGAGAAACCCTGTCTCGAAAAACCAAAAAAAAAAAAAAAAAAAAAAAAAAAAAAAAAAATGGTTGAATAATATTTCATTATCCATTCAGGTGTTGGTACATTCATGTGTGTGGCAGTTTGAATAAGAATGGCCCTCACAGGCTCATATATTTGAATGCTTAGTCATCAAGGAGTGGTACTGTAAGTAAATTTGTTGCAGGTACAACTTGAGAAGGACCGGAGGTGTAGCCTTTTTGGAGTAGGTGTGGCCTTGCTGGAGGAAGTATGTCACTGAGGGTGAGCTTTGAGGCTCCAAAAGCCCAAGTCAGGTCCAGTGTCATACTCTTCCTGCTGCCTGCTAAGGCAGATGTAGAACTCTCAGCTCCTTCTTCAGCATCATGTCTGCCTGCATGCCGCCATGCTCCCTGCCATGATGACAATGAACTAACCCACTGAAACTCTAAGTCCACCCCAATTAAATGCTTTCCTTTATAAAAGTTATTATGGTCATGTTGTCTCTTCACAGCAATAGAACACTGACTAAGACAACGTGGTTTCCACTTTTAACTACTGTGGATAATGTGTCTATGAACACTGGTGTGCAAATATTTGCTCACATCCTGCTTTCAGTTCTTTTGGGTATAAACCCAGAAGTGGGATTACTGGGTCATACAATAATTCTCTAACTTTCAAGCAATTTTCCACAATGGTTGTATCATTTTATATTCCCACTGGTTATGAGAAGGGTTCCCATTTCTACACATCTTCACCAACACTTCTGGCTTTGTTTTTGAGTAGCAGCTGTCTAATGACTGTGAAGTGGTATCTTATCTCAGGGTTGATTTGCATTTCCTTGATTATTAATGTTGGAAAGCATCATTTTACATGTTTATTGGCTGTTTGTGTATCATCTTCTTCGGAGAAATGTTGATTCATGTTATTTGCCTGTTTCTTAATTGGATTTTTAAAAATTGTTGTTGAGTTGTGGGAGTTCTTCATTAACTCTGGATATTAATACTCTGATAAAAATGATTAACAAGTATTTGCTTCCATTTTGTGGGCTGTGTTTTTATTCTCTTGGTACTGTCTTTTGATTCTGAACAGTTTAATCTGGACGAAGTCCACTTTATTTCTTCTTTCACTGGCCGTGCTACTGCCACACCCAGTAATCACTGCCACACCCAGCCATGAAGACTTTCTTCTTTTTTAAATTAATTTTTTATTTTTTTAAGACTTTTTTTTTTATTCATTTCACATTCCAACCACAGATCTCCTCTCATCCCTCCTCTGGCTCCCCACTAGCCTTCCCCCTGACCCACCCCCATCCCCTCCTCCAAAAGGATAAGGCCTCCCATGGGGAGTCAGCAAAGCCTGGTCCATTCAGTTGAGGCAGGACCAAGCCCCTCCCCCTGCACCACGACTGGTCAAGGCGTCCCACCATAGGTAAAGGGCTCCAAAAAGCCAACTCTCATACACCAGGGACAGATCCTGATCCCACTACCAGGAGCCCCTCAAACAGACCAAGCTACACAACTGTCTCCCATATGCAGAGGGCCTAGTTTGGTTTCATGCAGGCTTCATAGCTGTTGGTCTAAAGTTCATGAGTTCCCATGAGCTTAGTTGAGCTGTCTCCGTAGATTTCCCCATCATGATCTTGACCCCCCTTGTTCATAGAATCCCGAAGACTTTCTTTTAAGATATTCACAGTTTTAGCTCTTTAAGTTTTTAAATTCTGTTTCACTTAATTTTGTATATGGTATAAAAGTCTAACTTCATCCTTTTCCACATGGTTTGTAACTAGTAACAAAGAGCTGAATTCCAGCTTCCTCCAGCCTTAACCTCTGTCACGGGGCAATTTCTTCAGAAAACAGCCTCCACCTTAGGGGAGTTCCTTAAACACAGATGCTCCATGGGAGGTGAAATAGTTCAGGAAGCTTGTAAGCTCAGGGAGTCTCTGAAACTGCCTGGACTCACTAGGTCCATCCTTTCCCCAAGCATACAGAAGCTGTAAGGATTGGGGAGAGACATTGTCACATAGCTGTCTGGAAGAGGCTTAGACCCATGGGTTTGGCTCCAAGACACACCTTGTTGAGCTGTCTGTAGTTGTGCAGTGGATTCTAGGTTTCTAGCTTTCCTGAGCTTTCCATGCTGGAGTGTTGTGGAATGTCTTTCTGTATGCTGTGAATATGTGTGACTCCCACTGGATAATAAATAAAGCTGCACTGGCCTATGGCAGGGCAGGATAAGGTTAGGTAGTGCATTCAAACTGAAGACAAGACAAAGAAGCATGGAGTTG